AACGAGGCCCAACCGGCGTCATTGCTTCAACAATGCAGGACGCCTTTGAGACAGGCGACTCGATTGTGCAGGACTGGCTTTCTGGCTTGCAATTTCTCCCTCAAGTCAATGCAAAACCCGCTGCTGGCTGGGAGGGCGTCCGGGCGGAGATTGGCGAGTCTGCATCTAAAAGGATTGGATGGGACGATTGGCATACAATAGACGACGCAGAGAAGGAAAAGGGTCGAGCCGCAGGCAAGAAGCGGGAGAAGTTTACGTCAACGAAGGCCATGCTCGAGGTTCTATCATAAACAGCCACGCCAAGTAGTGTAAATCAGGTTCGAGGAAAAACCAATCAGCCACTTGCAAAGAAGAAAATTATCCCATTTCTGTACATTACAAAATCATTGCTGCTTAATCTTCTCAGTCAACTCGGGTACCTTGTCAAACAGATCGCCAACCAGTCCCACATCCGCCACTTGAAAAATTGGAGCGTCCGCATCTTTGTTGATAGCTGCAATAACTTTGCTATCCTTCATACCCGCCAAGTGTTGGATAGCACCGGAGATGCCGACGGCCAAGTACAGCTGAGGCGCAACGACCTTGCCAGTCTGGCCAACTTGAAGGCTGTTGTCGGCGTAGCCACTATCGACAGCAGCTCTTGAAGCACCAACAGCAGCACCTAGAGAGTCGGCAAGGGGAAGCATGACCTTGTCAAACTCCTCCTTGGACTTGAGACCTCTGCCGCCAGACACAACCTTGCTAGCAGTTGAGAGGTCCGGCCTGTCAGACTTGGCGAGGTCCTCCGACACCCACTCAGTAGTGGACTGAGACTTAGGGTCAACGCCGTCCTCGACTGCAGCCGAGCCGCTGGCGACTTCTGCGGCAGAGAAGGCTGTACCGCGAATCGTGACAATCTTGATAGCATCGGAGGATTCAACGGTTGCGATGGCGTTACCAGCATAAATGGGACGGACGAATGTATTCTCGTTCTCGATGGAGGTAATGTCGGAGATTTGCTGGGAATCCAGAAGGGCGGCAACGCGAGGCATCAGGTTCTTGCCAAAGGCAGTGTGTCCGGCGATTATGTGGGTGTATCCGCCCTTCTTGATGTTCTCAACCAAGAGCGGCGCGTAGTTCTCGGGCAGGCCCTAAACATGAGATTTGTGTTAGTAGCCTATTTTTGTTGTGCTCTTCTTCTCTTTCTTTCAATGGGTAATGCCGACCTTGTCATAAGCGGCGTTTTCAACCGCAATGATCTTCTCAACACCCTCAACCTTGGCCGCCTCATCGGCAACGCCCTTGATGTTGCTTCCCGCCACGAAGCCATGGATGGGGCCACCCAATTTCTTCGCAGCAGTGATGGCGCTCAAAGATCCATGATTCAGCTTTCCCTCTCTCTGCTCCAGAATCGCGAGGGTGGAAAGCAAATGTCTTGTCGACCTAGATCGGAACCCCAAAAGCCCACTTGACGCCGCAGCAGCCCCACTGGCAGCGGCTCTTCGAGCAAGAAAGAGCATCGTCGCTTGCGCAAGCAAATTCGAAACGTACTATGTAGATCGTAATCGGCGGGGAGGGGCAATTGACGAGCCTCGGCGTGAACTGAGAGGCTCTAGATGAGTGATGTGCAGGACTGCAAGTTGTAGAGGAGCGGTTGGACACGGCCCGAGGTTACTACGCCGAGTTCGCATGAAGCAATCCAGCTGCCAAAAGTGCCGTCATCAATATCAGTGTTGCTGATAAGTTGAACCCCGGGGTGCACCTAGTGCAAGCTGAATCACGTCGATTGCTCATTTGGCCTGAGGAAGGAGCACTGGGTGACCGAGCTGGAATCCCATCAACTGCGGTGCCTCCACGTGACTCTTTGAATATCACGTGATTGACTGGTCAGAGCGCTCCGCTTGCCGCTTCCTGCCGTGTACAGCGAGAGGTGCGCATTGAACGTGGCTAACTTTCAGAGAGTCGCCCCTTGGAGCAGTTCCCTCCAAAGCATCGCGCCAAAATTTCTCCAGGTCTGACGCGACTCCATAACCACCCGAACTCGTCAACGTTCATCGAAACCACGCGCTTTGGAGGGGCAACACCTGTGGGCTCCATCATCCATCAACCAATTCCAATAGTTGTATGCCGTAGGTTGATTCATTCGTGCGATTTGCACCCCATTCTGCGCGACGCGGTGTCGAGCATCTTCGCGACTTTTCGTCCATCTTGATGTTCGCTTGCTCCTGAGTTTCTTTTACCAGAAATCACTATGGAAGACCAATCGAACTACGGAATCTCCAACGCCGCCTCTCCTGGCAGCAACCCAATCCTTTCGCAACCGCCTCTGCAACCTATTGCGTCCGCGGCAGGTGACGCAGCTGAAGGTATGTGACAGCGTCGTTCTGAATAGCAATGTCATTGCCACGGCTTCGGACGCCATCTAATGGTCTTGTTATAGACGTTCAGATGACCGAGGGCCCTATCGCCGAACCCGATATCAAGCAGGACAGCGCAACACCTGCACCAGGTGTCGCGTCTGACAACCCCCTAGATGCCCCCGATGGGCCCGTGCCTGAGGCTACCCAGGACGAAGAAATGGGTGGTGCTCGCGACGAAACAAAAGATGGCCAGGCTGTGGCGAAGGATGGCGATGACGCTGCTACCGGCAATGATGTTGACGGGCAAGATTCTAAGACAAAGGAGACCCTTGAATCCGCAGCTCGGGAGCATCTCATCTCGCAAACGCACGCCATAGTCCTGCCGAGCTACAGCACCTGGTTTGACATGAACACCATCAACGACATTGAGCGCAAGGCTATGTCCGAGTTCTTCAACAGTCGCAATCGCAGCAAGACTCCTGCCGTCTACAAGGACTACCGCGACTTCATGATCAATACTTATAGATTGAACCCCGTGGAATACCTTACTGTCACGGCCTGCCGGCGGAACTTAGCTGGAGATGTTTGCGCCATTATGCGCGTTCACTCCTTCCTTGAGCAATGGGGATTGATCAACTATCAGGTACATATTTGCATGATATACGCGCACTTTATAGCATGAACTAACGTTATTGCAGGTCGACGCGGAGCAACGACCTTCACACGTTGGCCCCCCCTTCACTGGCCACTTCAAGATCATCTGCGACACACCCCGTGGTCTCCAGCCCTGGCAACCATCTCCCGATGCTGTTGTTTCGACTGGGAAGCCAAACGCAGACACCGAAAAGAAGGGTACAGCAACTCCTACTGCCAAGGGCGATCTCAACTTGGAAGTCAGCCGGAACATTTACGAGGCAAGCGCCAAGGGAACGAAGCTCAACAAAACGGAGCCTAAGACTAATGGCGAAATACCTGTGACTAATGGTATCTCGGGTGTTGAAGAGGCCACGAAGACGCCCATTGTCAAGGTCAACTGCCACACCTGCGGCATCGACTGCACCAGGTTATATTATCACAGCTCGCAGGCCGATCCCAACTCTAAGACCAAGTATGATGTCTGCCCAAGCTGCTATCTCGAGGGCCATCTTCCCGGAAACCAGACCAGCGCCCAGTTTACCCGCATGGAGAATCCCACCTATACAACTGTTCTCGATCGCGACGCGCCTTGGAGCGATGCTGAAATCCTACGGCTACTTGAGGGCATCGAGAGGATGGATGACGATTGGAATGAGATTGCGGACCACGTTGGCACCCGAACGCGCGAGGAGTGCGTCTTGCAGTTCCTGTCTCTGGATATTGAGGGCAAGTACGCGGATTCAGACCTCGCCGTGAATGCCCCAACCGGCCTTGCGATGCTCGGACAGCAGGGCGGTCATCTGCCTTTCAGTCAGGCGGACAACCCTGTCATGTCCGTTGTCGGCTTCCTCGCAGGTCTCGCAGACCCTGCTAGTACGGCTGCGGCAGCCAATAAGTCAGCGGAGGAGCTAAAGCGCAAGCTTCGTAGGAGACTCGAGGGCGATAGCTCTGAGGAGCAGGCCACCACCAATGGCAAGGGCAAGGATAAGGATGGTGACTCTATGGATATTGATATCCGACAAGACGTAACGACCACGACCACGACCACGACAACAACGACGACTTTGGCGACTATTCCTATGGCCACGATGGGTGCTCGCGCTGCCGGCCTTGTATCACATGAGGAGCGTGAAATGACGCGGCTGGTCTCTGCTGCAGCAAACCTCACGTTGCAGAAGCTGGAGCTGAAATTAAAGTACTTCAACGAGATGGAAGCCATCTTGCAGGCAGAGCGAAGAGAGCTCGAGCGCGGCCGGCAACAACTGTTCCTAGACCGTCTTGCATTCAAGCGCCGTGTCCGAGAGGTGCAGGATTCACTGAAGACGGCGGTCGAGACTGGCGGGGATCAAGGCCTGAAGCTGGCGCAAGATGTGATGACGGATGGTGCCAATCTCACATTCCAGGCGGCGCCTGGACCCGGCGCGGTGCAGCCACTGAGCAGCGAAGGGCAGATCAAGAGCTTCGAGGCCTAAATTTGGTGTCTCTTTTCTCGCCGGGGTATCTTGGGTCATGACAGTGACGAGGCCGAGTTGTAGTGGGTCTGTCATTGTGCGTGTCCGCACGTGCGGAAGACGGGGAGGAGTCTTTTCTTTCCAAGGGATTTAGGTTGACGGAGACCAGGAAACGGCACGAATAATTGCGGTGAGTTCATCAAATCCGGGTGATTTTGGGCGTCGGAGGGGTTCCAATCTGCTGGGCGACTTATCGTCGCCTTGTACAAATGTATTAGATAGTTATGTTACCCAGTCGCATTTGCTGTCATTGGCGCACTTTGGTCCGTCAACGTGCTGTCGACGGTTCATATAAGCCGTCTATTACTGGCCCACTACTTGGCGTATGTGGGAGATGCAAGCATGATTCATCGGCGATCTGAACTGGCCCAGCCGGTAATTCGATCTGCGGGTCATGCTGGTCAAAGTTGTGCCCATGCCAGAGGTGTTGAAGGTCTATGGTGATAATTGCAGAGTATTGTCACATGCAATGTGGGTATTAGACACATGCAAAGAGTTTGAGATATAGAGAGGGCAAGCCATGCTACTTGTGTCGCCATTTGTGCTCTAGCTACTACGTACTAATTCGAACGTTAAGATGGTTCGTAACTGTGAACTGGCACGCCAAATCAGAATCGGATGCGTACTAACATCGCCAAGCGAAAAGCTGCAGTCAGGTGGCACGGGAAGCATGTATTTTCCACCTATTCTTTATTTGTTCCTTCCTTTCCCGCCACTCCATACAAGCCCGACAGTCTAGGCTGATGGAAGGAATAAGATGCGGAACATGACCAGGAAGTGTAGCAAGGTCAGGCTGCGCATCATGTCTATGATCCTCCGTGATATTGAAGCGCGGGGGAATGTTAGGTCCGTTCGTCCGGGACGTGGTTAGACTCGTGGGCTTCGCTGGAACCTCCGTTGGTCCAGTCCGACCCAGTCCGGTTGTGTACTCCTGTCTGTTACACAGCAGAAGTGCAGTAGTGCTGTCTTGGCAAAAGGCTTCTCGATTCCTACCCTCTCGCTTTTCGCAGATGGTCCGGACCCTACTAACGCAAGATGTTGGGTTTGGGCTGAATGGAAACCCGCCGAAGCTCGAATGACATACACATAGATGGGGAGTGTTGCGGGCCATGGTTCTAGACGAGTAAGGGAGGCAGACAACGAGCTGGAGTGTTCACGAAAGGGCTGGTCCAGGGAAATGAGAACGGGCCTGCTCAAGGACCTACCCTAGGTACTTAGTTAGGTTCCTATGTGCAAGTCAATCAAAGGATGCTTAGGTAAGTCCGCTCAAAGCCTAGGTATGCTCAATCGTTGTGGCTGGCAGCGACCCATTCAGAGCGTATCTTTTCTCGTGCGTGGAGAGCGTAGTATCTTGTGCCGACCGGTGGGCAGAGAAAACACTCGGCACAAAAAGTACGGGGGTAAAGGCGCGCAGCCACCCCTGTTTTACCTCGGCTCAAGCGAACAGCCCACTGTTGCCGGCTGCACCGCACGCGACCGAGGAAAACCTGTATTACCTAGCAAGGCCGCAACGCAAAGGGGCCATTCCATGCATAGAGCTACTTAGAGGTAGAAATCAGTGTACTGGTGTATGCTTGGATGCTCGAACAGGTACATGAGCGCTGTTGCATGGGTTCAAAGCCTGGATACGGGGCCCGAACTGTCATCTGTTACGTTTGCACATTCCCCCATTTCCACCTCCGCCGGACATTGGACCATCAGGTACCTAGGTGAGTAGGTAGGTAGTAGAAAAGGTTCTGCGTAATGTAAGCCCCGGCATCCGGACCGAGTCAATGTATTCCAGCGCGGACAGTGCCTCGGAGGAAAGGAAGAGAGGATTAAAGGGCTCCCGGAGACAAGAAATGAAGGTGCGCCCAAGGCCAACACCATCATCACACGTACATACCCAGCGTACGCCGACTTTTCTCTTGTTGCCTCCCTCTGCCTTCCTCTTTTCTCTCCTGTCTACACTCGCTCCATCTCCGTTTGTCCCTTGAAGTTTCTCGGGCTAAGTTGGCAAGAACCTCCATCTGGCTGCGTTACACCTGAGTTCTTTCCCCTCGGCACGACTGAAGACCCATATCCCCACGCCGTCTTCCCCACATCATCATCAACCTACCTAGGTACCTACATATACCTGTACTATGTACCTAGTTTACGCTAGGTAGCCACCCTGTCACCTCCTGCCGTTGGCCACCAATTCTAGTTACCCTACAACTACACCTCGGGAGTCCAGCCATCGACCATACGCTCACTAACTATCCGTTCCTCCCTTGGAGAAAAACAAGTAAAGCTATCCCAAGCCGAGGAGGTATCGTCGATAAGCGACACTTCTTCTTTACAGGAACACTCTCCGTCGCTAGATTTCCTCGCCACCGAGAGCTTGAAGCAGCACATGGGCAATCCCCATACCCCGTCCCCCCCAATTCCCCATAGTCGACCCCCGGTACTGAGCTGTAACCGCGTCCTTGACTCCTCTCCCTTGGCTCCTCCTCCACCAACCTAAGTAGGAGAGAACAAGGATCCGAAAGGTACCTCGCCCTTGACACACACTAAACACCAACCCCCAACCACGCACCCTTGCTCGATTGACATAGGTAATAAAGCCAGTCCCGCGTGGCATCTGGGTTTTGGCTTGTGACAAGCAGCCACTTTCAGTCCGTTCTTTCCTAGGCTCTTTTCCTACCTGTCGCCCGCAACGGCTAGCCTAGCCTCCGCTCCGATCCACTCCGAAAGCTGACTGACTAGACTTGCTGCCGCTGCCGTCTACCGTCTGTCCTACCGCGGATCTTTCTGCGGCTACGTGTGCCACTGCAACTGCAATTGTTTGGACACACCAACCACACACGACTACCACCACCACCACCACACGTCTTCCCTCTTCAAGAACTGGTCATGTCGGCCGCTCTACGAGCTTTGGAGGCTAGGTCTGCCACGGTACGAACGTCGCCGTTGAGAAATCTAAGGTTCAATCGTCCTGTAAGTTGTCTTCCTACACCTTGCCTGGCGCACTACTCCCGAGTCCATATATCCTCGGCTCAGTCCTATCATCCTTGATCCCACCCCGCTCCGCTTGTTTGACTGGCTCCATCCGTTGTTTTTGGCGTCTCTTCCCACCGACACCTGTCGCCTCTTTTGCTACTTCCCCCAATTTGTGCCCTCGAACACTTCATTGACCTTACCCCAGACCTTTGCAACAGCCATGTCGTCCACCACGAAACGGAACAGCAGTTCCCTTCCATCCGGTACGTTTTTCTGCCTCTTATTGCGTTTCTGCAACGTTACCAATCCGATCCAAGCCTTGCAAACCCGTGCGGTTAACCGTTCTCGGACCGTCCTCGGGCGCCATGATTTGCTTTAAACAAAATCGGCTGACATTTTCTCGCACACAGGATATGTCGAGGACAAGTCCAAGGGCCCTATGTTGAGATTCCAAGACTCTCTGCCCCGACTACCGGTACCTACGCTCGAAGAGACGGCCGCGCGCTATGTCAAGACACTACAACCCCTTCTCTCCGAGTCCGAGTTCGCCGCCAGCAAAAAGGCCGTGGAAGAATTTGTCAAGGCTGGCGGTATCGGCAGCAAGCTCCAAGAGAAACTGCTGGCCCGTAGAGAAGACCCTGCCAACCGCAACTGGCTGTACGAGTGGTGGAATGACGCGGCATACCTGAGCTACAGAGACCCTGTCGTTCCCTACGTCAGCTACTTCTACTCTCATCGTGATGACCGACGGAGAAGGAACCCTGCCAAGAGAGCCGCCGCCATAACCTCGGCCGTCCTCGAGTTCAAGAAGCAAGTCGATGACGGCACCCTCGAGCCCGAATACATGAAGAAACTGCCCATCTGCATGGACAGCTACAAGTGGATGTTCAACACGAGTCGTGTTGCCGCAAAGCCTGTCGACTACCCCGTCAAGTTCTCCCACAAGGATCATAAGTACATCATTGCCATCCGCAAGAACCAGATCTTCAAGATACTACATGAGGTCGACGGCAAGCAGCTTAATGCCTCTGAGCTCGAACAGCAGTTTAACAAGGTCTACGAGCTGGCTCAGAGAGTCCCTGCCGTTGGCGCGTTGACCAGTGAGAACCGTGATGTCTGGGCCGATGCGCGCGAGATTTTGCTCAAGGCTAGCCCGAAGAACGCTGCTGCTCTGGAAGTCGTCGAAGCGTCTTCCTTTGTCGTCTGCCTTGACGATGCCGCTCCTGTCACTCTCGAGGAGCGTGCGCACCAATATTGGCATGGCGATGGTGCGAACCGCTGGTACGACAAGCCGTGCCAATTCATCATTAACGACAACGCTACTTCGGGCTTCATGGGAGAGCACTCTATGATGGATGGAACCCCTACACATCGCCTTAACGACTTTATCAACGATCTCATATTCAACAACAAGATTGATCTCTCTGACCCGTCGATCCGCTCCAACCTGCCGGACCCTCAGGTCGTCAAGTTTGAAGTCACGAAGGAAGTCCAGGCCGAGATTGACCGCGCCAGGAAGGACTTCCATGATGTCATTAGCCAGCACGAGCTCGCCGTTCAGGCCTACCAGGGCTATGGCAAGGGCCTGATTAAGAAGTTCAAGTGCTCACCCGATGCCTATGTCCAAATGATCATTCAGCTGGCCTACCATAAGATGTACGGTAAGAACCGCCCCACGTACGAGTCGGCCGCTACTCGCCGCTTTCAGCAAGGCCGTACCGAGACGTGCAGAACGGTATCGGATGCCTCCGTTGCTTGGTGCAACGCTATGGCGGACCCTAATGTCGAAGATAAAGACAAAGTCGACCTGTTCCGACAAGCTATTGACTCTCACCTCGAGTATATCACGGCTGCTTCAGATGGCAAAGGCGTCGACAGACATCTCTTTGGCTTGAAAAAGCTCCTAGAGCCTGGCCAAGAGCTGCCGGCCATCTACCAAGACCCTGCCTTCACGTACTCGTCTTCCTGGTATCTGTCGAGTTCGCAGCTCAGCTCCGAGTACTTCAACGGATATGGATGGAGCCAGGTGATTGATGCCGGATTCGGCATTGCCTACATGATCAATGAAAACAGGTATGTGACAGGAAACTTATTTACTGCATTGTACTCTCCAAGCGGTCAGCTAACTGGCACAATTCTCACAGTATCAACTTCAATGTTGTCTCCAAGGGTCTGGGCAGCCAGCGCATGAGCTTTTTCCTGAACGAGGCTGCGGGCGATATGCGCGATCTTCTCACTCCCACCATCAAGGCAGCCAAGGCTAAGTTGTAAGACTCGAAAATGAAGTATAAGAGTAAGCATGGACCTAGAGGCGGAGAACCTGGTCTGGGCCGAATGGAGCAGAGAGAGAGGGAGAGAGAGAGAGCGCGCCTGTATGTGTGGTGTGTTTTGTCCCCAACGAGTCCTGTACTTGTGATTTGTATGTGGGCGGTCAGTTCTGTTTGACATCGATACAGTAGAAGCATTTCCGCAACATGATAGAATTGACCAGCGGTGTCGACACGGCGCCGTGATCAATTTGGTTTTTTTGTTTTTATTTTCCTGAATATCTCCATCATCTTATATTTTCACCGTCTTATATCATATATCGCCAATGTAGATGTCATGTCAGCATTGGCGGCATAGAAAGCCAGGTCATGTTTCACTCTATCTTCTTATTTCTACCACCCATCAACGTTGCTAGAGGAGAAATGCTTGGCAGGGCGCTGAAAATGTACGCTGATCTAAACAGAAAAGAAGGCAAACTCGGGAGGATGAAGAGGATGACAACGGGGTCAAACGAGACGCCATTGACAATTCTATACAACCAACAGTAGTACTTGAGTGGGACGGGACACCCAGGTCTTCATCTGGAAACCGCCTCTATCACTGTCAACGCTGACTACCATAGCCCTATACGCGGCAATAATCAAATCGTCCAACTTCATCCAGAGTGACTGACAATCTCGTTAATGAGGTCGCCCTTGCTTTCATCGTAGTAGGAGCAGATTTGCGATGGCAGGGGCACTTCCTTGTAGTCGTCGTCTTCCCCTGAAATAATGTTGAGGTTGATGCCGGAGGACTTGCTCGAGAAAATCTTGGTCGTCGTACTCTCTTTGCTAAAGTAAACTTGAGCGCCGTCAATCGAATCCATCAATACAGCCGGTACAGCCCCCAAAACCTGCAACGCAAAGTTCTGAGACTTGATGACGTCCACCGTGGACACCAGAGACTCCACAATCAGCGACAGGCGGCTCGAATTCTCAATGGTGACAGCATTTGCCTTGCCCTTGACAATGATGGTGGAGTTGCTACACTTGCTGATCAGAACAGAGTGGGAGATGGATGCGTCGATCTCGATAGGCTGAGGCTCCTTTTCAAAGTTTTCCTAGAACCGGCAGGTCAGTTTTCGCGTTATACTACGACTGGGTTGACAGGGGCAGCCCGTACGATAGTCCACTTATTGCCCTCGAGCACCTTCTTTGGCGGCTTCTTGACGCGCATGCTTTCCGGCTTGGGCTTCTTGCCCGGAGCAGGGCTCTTGCCACGCACCGAGCCCTCTCGCTCAGATACTGTCGAACCTGCTCGAAGGGACGGGTTCTTATGCGTCATTTCCGATCTGTCAACCTTGCGAAGGCCCTTTGTAACAGCTTCGCCCTTGTTCAGCTCGGAAAAGACAGCGCCCAACCCACCCTTTCCGCCTGGCGTTTCTTCCTTGATTTCAAGAACGGGAGGTGGCCCAGGAGGCGGGGGTGGAGGGGGCAAACCAACAGAAGGGGGGGGGCAGGAGGGGCGGAAGCGGCAGCAGCAGAAGCGGACAGAGACTTGGCGACTTCCTGAGCAGGCTCTCCCTTAGGGTTCCAGGGTATGCCGTTGGGGAAGTGTTGCTTGACATAGTCGGTCAGATCGCGGAAAACTTGGTAGAAAGCTTGGACCCATTCAGTTTGCTGCACATCCCTTGAAGGCAGTACGTCAGCTACATGATCCCATTGGGGTATCAGGTGAGAGCAGGCCAGGCGAGGCATTCTTACTTGTCTTTTTGCTCTTTCAACACCCTGTTGCCGAAAAACTGCGCAGAGCCCAGTGAGTCCTCGACGTGCTTGTAGGGACGGTTATCGACGGTAACCCATGCGAGAACCATGATGCCCTCGGCAACAGCGCTCAGCTGGCTAAAGACAGCCGATCCTCGGTTGGACTCCTTGATGTTGCTAACAGCGACGAGAGCTTCGTTGATGGGTTTAAGGAGGTCTTGGTATACGGCCATCTCAGCACCGTTCAGGTCAGGCTTCTTGGCCTTGGTAGTGATGAGTAGGAAGTTGCGCTGGGCTTGGAAACCCTGCAATACCTTGGCGGCCTGTGGGACATATTGTGTCAGCATTGGGGTTGGAATCAGTGACATGAACAGACACAAACTGACCTGGTCAGCAATGAGACCTCCCAGTTGCTGGCTAATTTTGACATATTTTTCAACCGAAGTAGCTATGAACTGGTCAAACTCCTCGACAGACTCCGGGACCGGCTCGGGGGGCGCCTGGGGCGCAGCGACAGCTTGTGGCGGTGGGGGCGGGGGAGGCGAGGCATTGGCGACAGTAGGCGGCGATGCAACAGATTGGTTGAGGGAAGGGACGGCTTGAGGAAGCTCAATGGTCGAGGTAGCGATGTCTTCAAGTCTAGCTGTAGCAGCTTCGAGGCTTGTTTAGGGGTTAGCCTAGGGCGAAGGCAGAAACAACGCGGGACCCAGTATGATCCTCTTCCCGCAGGTGGAAGAGGGGGATCTGGCCTGTGGAGAGGTGGTCGGCATACCGCTTGATAAGAGTTGTGAGGTTGTTCATGTTGTTCGTTGCCATGTTGGACGAAACAAAGAAGGCCAGGCTTCTTGAGAGGCGATCAGAGTTGACGGAGAGAAATACAGGTCGGCAACGGCCCGGGGGCTACGACGCGTGACAGAGATGGTCTGACGAAGAAAGTCGCAGGAACTTGATGGTAAACAAGGCCAGCTTTACTTCCGACAATGCGGGGGGTTCGACGCAACCAGGACTGAGTAAAGATTGTTGAAGAGTGTCCGGATAACGACAATCTAGCATCAGCATATAAGCAATAGGGCGTCGGTGTATGGATCGATCGGGGCGAGAGCTGGACGAATGGGTCGGAGGTTTCAGCTAGTGCGGAGCCGCTGGGATAAAATGAAGTACTATACACTACACCTGGCGAAGAGCGAACGGGTAGCGGCTTTGGAGAGATTTGTAGATGGGGACAAAATGATAATAATGGGTGGATAAAGTGTTTTGGATGGGTATTGTCGCAAGCATCTAATGTCATGCCAGACCACGACTCGTCCTATGTGTGGGGAGGTACGTACACGAGCAGCTGCGCACGCCACATAAGGTACTACCCGCAGGCAAGCAGGCAGCCAGCCAGCCAGGTACATCAAGCTTAGGTGGGGCTGCACCAGAGGTGATGTACCTGTATATTTGTAAAGGAAAGCACCTACTATGTGCCTACCTACTACCTAGTTAGATACGATATGTGATTTTGATGAATGCCACCCACCAGAGGTCATTGAATCCTCCAATTCCTACTTCTCTGTACGTGCACACAACATTCTTGACAAATCCGGCTAAGGCAACTCTCACGCGCATCGTATGGCAACGGATGGACTTGGTCGCATCCAACCACTTCCATTGGATGCCTAAATAGGTATCATCTCAATTATAAGGGAACCAGGACGATACATCTAGATACGGACGATGGGACCAAACCTCAAGCACTGAGGAGTTCCTTGTGCCTCTCTCGCCTTATCAGATCTTAATCATGTAAGCCAACTGCTACTCGGGTCAGACAAGCAAGAGAAAGCCAGCTTGCTTGTCACGATCCAGGACACCCTCACCAGGAACGCAAGGCATGGCCTGAAGCTGTTTATTGGAGCCAAAGTTGAGACATTCAATTGGGGGAACAGGCCGCCGGGCCGTGGGCGCCGATAGCAAAAATTCTGTAGTGATTTTTTCACAGCCCTTTTTTTTTTTTTTTTTTTAGAGAGAGAGAGAGAGAGAGAGAGAAACACCTTCGCCAGGGACAGAGGCAAGGTCTAATTTCACTATAGGTTTAACTCCCCAAAGCAAACCTATCTCAGTGAGTGGCGCGACAAAACTTCTAGAACCTGCCTGGAGCTTTCTGCTGTAGGCTTACCCATGTGGGCTTACCGTGGCGCCCATGCCCGGGAGACGGCGGGATCCTCGCTTGGGTTGCTCTTCACAAGCTACCTACCTCGTTACTCGTTGTCTGATATTGATAATCCGTTAGTCTCTAAGCACTCACTCACACCCCTACTTCTGGTGGTGCCGAGAGCGATTTCCCTCGTCTCATCTAACCTGTATCCATCCTCCCACAAGTGCATTAGCCTGTCTGAGCACCCACCCAATTCCGCCCGTTCTATGCTTGCTTCTGTCCACAGGTGCCTACTGACCCGGATTTGACCAACCCTCCTTGACAGACAACACACCAATAAGTGTCGCCCACCTACTCAAGAGTCAACGCTCACAAAGTTCCACACTTTAAATTGCCTTGTCTACAGCATCGAACTGCGATACCATCGTTGTAGAAGAAAACATACAAATTACTCCTTCAGGGGACACATCAATGACGCCCTACCAGTAACAAGTAAATCCTGAACCACGCGTTTGCTTTCATAATCTAGGGTCCGCTGGCTGCCGAGTTGCCGTCATGGCCGACAACGGTCCACAAAAGCGGTCAGAGGAGCAACTCACCGATGAAGAATTCGCCGCGTTACCTCCTATTGATTTCGTGACACTGGGCATGTTCATTATTGGTGAGAAAGACCATCTGCCTTCTGCCCACCAGTACATAGGTTTCGCACACACTGACATGGACTGTAGATGAAATACACTTCCTGCCGCCTACGCCGCCAGTCTATGACATACTTGGGGGCGCCGGGTCCTATGGTGCCCTGGGAGCCCGTCTCTTCTCGCCCCCTCCACACGCATCTTCTGTGGGTTGGATTGTCGACAAGGGCTCCGACTTTCCGCAGTCTTTGGGTGACCTCATCAGCAGCTGGGGGACCTCTGTTGTGCTCCGTGATGACCCCGAGCGCCTGACCACGCGCGGATGGAACGGGTATGAAAGCGCTGAAAAGCGTGCTTTCAGATATACAACCCCAAAGAAACGTCTCACCGCCAACGATTTGACACCCCATCTGCTACTTTCCAAGTCTTTTCACCTTATCTGCTCCCCAGCTAGATGCAGAGATTTAGTGGCAGAGATTACCTCGTCCCGCAAGCGTGTATGCCCACCGGATGTGTACACAAAGCCCATTTTCATATGGGAACCCGTGCCAGACCTATGTACGCCCGATGAACTTCTCAATTGTACGAATACTCTACCTCTTGTCGACATCTGTAGTCCGAACCACTCCGAGCTGGCGGGTTTCATGGGAGACGATGGCTTGGACGCGGAAACCGGCGAGATATCTAAGACAGCTGTCGAAAGATCCTGCGAGCAGCTCCTCGCCAGCATGCCTCTTTCATCCTTCACGCTCGTCATCCGTGCCGGCGACAAAGGTTGCTATATCGCTCGGAACGGGGGTCGCAAGCGCCAGCCAAAGACAAGAGACGGCATAGGCTCGAAGCGTCGCCGAAAAGATTACACGAGAGGCGGTTTACAGCCCGACACCGACATGGAAGCATTGTTCGCCGGCCTGCTTCAGGATGACGAAGGTGTCGTTGTTCGCGAAGAGATTGAGGTGGATTCCGGCATGGAGCGGTGGATTCCTGCTGTTCACAACGACCCCGCCAAGGTACTAGATCCAACTGGTGGCGGCAACACATTCTTGGGCGGCCTCGCCGTTGCGCTCGCAAGGGGCAAGAACGTTGAGGAGGCTGCATTGTGGGGGAGCGTCGCTGCCAGCTTTGCTATCGAACAAGTGGGCTTACCTCAAATGGGCCAGGACAACGAAGGTAACGAGATTTGGAATGGCATCAGGGTGGAAGACCGGCTTGCTGAATTCAAAAGTCGTTTGTAGAGAGAATAGAGCCCAGTATAATAAACTTGGCCCTATTACAGAAACCTGTATTCGGGCCAACGAGATGAAATGTGGCATTGACGCCAAATATTGTGTTCGTTTGATTGGTTGTGAACCTAAGATACATGGCTCGCTGATCACTAGAGAAAACCTCCTCCGGACGCCGCCTCCCTGTCATGAGCCTAACGCCAGTGTCTATCCACAGTCAACCCAACACATCATGCGACGAAATATTAGATCTTGTATACAAGCTCGCCATCAGTGTACCTGTATCCTCGTTAGCCTTAAACATTTACGAATCGCAGTGAAAAAGAAAAAAAAAAAGGGGGGGGGGGGGGGGGGGGGGGGATAAATCCGGGGAGCATACATGATCTGGTTTGCTTCGTCCATCTTCTTTAGAGCCTTGACAGCCTCCTGTTTGCCAAAAGCGCCACCACTGCGAGACTGCAGCTGCTTGTTGACGGCTTCAATAACAGCGTCAACGTTGGCCGAATCATCGTCAAACAAGGCCGAATTGAGTAACTGGCCAAGAGCGCTCCTGAACGCCGTCAGTCGCTGAGGGGTGATAGGCTCGTCTGCAATGGCGAGACCGGCTGTCTCTGAAGCCAGTTCATCCTCATCCTCAGCATCCTCTTGCGACTGCGAAGGCAACTGGGACACAGGCACTGAAGAAGCAAAAGAGGTTTGAGTATGCAGCGCCGCACTCGAGGAATTGGCTCCATCACCACGACGGCGCGACGTCCGGGGAGTGGCGTCATATATGCCTTCCTCTTCAACATCTTCTGTGTCGGGTCGTGTTGCTGACTCTGCATCGCTTTCCTGAACAGCTCCATTGGCACTATTATCGTGCCGGTCGCCAGCAGTGGCTCGAGGTCGCGCAACACCTCTTGTGGATCGCGTAGGTCGCGCGGCTGAAGACCTGGAAGCTGAGCTTCTGAAGTTCCCGTCATCATCGTCCTCGTCAGAAGAGCTTTCTTCGCTGGATGAAGCAAATTCTGTGGTTCGAGTCTTTCTCCGCTTCTTTCTCGACTCATCCTCCACCACCTCTTTAAACAAGGCGAAACGAAGGATTCCCTCGGCCGCAAGCGCGTCCCGCTCGTCCACTCTATTGGAAAGTCGAGACTTGGCATGAGCAGTCGCTAAACGAATCAAAGTCTCCAAGGTACGAACAGTCAGAGGACTAGTTCGGCGTTGGTTACCCTCCATCTCATCGTTTCGCAGACCAACATAGATGTCAGCGATACGGTCTGATGCCGCCTGGGTCAGAACCGGGCGGATCCTGGTTTTGGCGTATTGGATGTATTTTTTCATAAAAGGGATGCTGAGTACCTCGGGCTTCTTGTTCGCTCCACGACCAGACGTCAAAGTGACGCCAGCGTGAAGCATCGCGTCAAACTTCTCGTAAACATCAGTGGGTCGCTGAGTATCTGTTTGACTATTCAGAGCGACGCCGAGGGATTGGCCGGCATTCTCGCGCACTGGTGCACCTTCTTCAGTCCCTGGTTGACGGTAGCGGTGCATCCGTAGAACGTGCTCTGAGACCTGTCTATCTCTCGTATCCTCAATGTCATCGGTGACGACGAACAGAAGATCGAAACGTGACAATAGAGAGTCCGGCAGGGCAATGTTCTTGTGCGGATCCTTGCGGGTGTCGTACTGTCCGAATATGGGGTTGGCGGCGGCAACAACGCTGCATCTGGCGTTTAGTGATGTATGTATACCAGCCTTAGCAATGGTAACAGTTTGCTGTTCCATGACTTCGTGAATGGCAACTCGATCGATGTCGGACATCTTGTCGAACTCGTCGATGCAAACAACACCACGGTCGGCCATAACCATAGCTCCGGCCTCAAGTCTTCTTTCTCCAGTCTCCTTATCCGAAGTCACAGCAGCCGTTAGACCAACACCAGACGAGCCGCGACCGGTTGTAGCTATGGCAAGCGGTGCCGTATTAAGGACGAATCTGAGAAGCTGGGACTTCGCTGTGGAGGGGTCGCCCACCATGAGGATATTGATGTCACCTCTTAAGTGGGTACCGTTCTCCAGGTTCTTTTCCATGCCACCAAGAAGCATCAAAAGGATTGCCTTTTTGATATAAGCGTGGCCATAGATGCTAGGGGCGAGTGACTGGGACAGCAGATCAAGAAGGTTCTTTTTCTTGGCCACTTTATTGATGTTTCGAATGTCGGTATCAGTGATTGTGGCGGTTGCGACACCTCCCCCAGACTTTGAAGACAGAAGAATAATGTGATTGGCAATGATTACCGTCTTGAACAGGGCGCTGTTGTGGTTTGTATTCCTGTTTCCAAGAGTCCTGTAAATACCGACAAGTTGGATGCGATCGCCAGGCTTGACTTTGTCCACGAGGTCATCGTCGAGTATTACGTCCACGCCACGAGGCAGCTGACCGGCAGGGGCACGCTCGGGCATCTCCTGGATTGAAACAGTCTGATGATCTCTATAGGTGCTAAAACCGTACTCCGTGGTGAGGGGATTTCCTTCGTCGTCCTCCTGCGGATAAGCGCTCGACGTGGTGACTCCATTGGTCATGGTCTGGTCCTGATATTCGCGGAAGTGGAAGACGTCCCTGGCCTCATTGTAGTGTACACTCTTCACGACCTTTGGGCGAATTAAAGAGCATCTGGTGACTATGCCCTCAAGGGACACCATGCTGTTCAGGTGTTGCGAGGACAGCGTGCGGGGGTTGCAAGCATTCATGCCAAAGCTACCGGCCCAAGCGCAATAGTATGACACATCGTTCAGTTTTTCGGCGTCGCCAGACTGCGGTAAGGTCTTGACGATTTGCTTGAGAGCATGATTGAAGGCTATACTGTAGTCGAAGGGATCTTCAAGGATTCCTAAGGCGAGTTCAGGGTTGTGGGCACGGAGCTGATCAAGGTTGACGACGAGTCTCCTCTGGTTTTTCTGCAGCATCAAGATGATGGCTGACCTGTAACTGCGCCCTTGAGAATCGTTCTCTAAGGGGACAAAATAATGAGCATGCGAATACAACGACGGATGACACAAAGGGAAACCGATGGGTTCTAGCCAGACGTGAACAACATACGAGGGTCAAGAAACTCTTGGGCTGCGCGCACGCGGTCCAAGGCGGCTGCGTCCTGCAGCATGAAGGAATCCATGGCGACAACTGCTTCCAGGTCTCAGGAGCGGGAAACGGAATAGAGAGAGAAAAGGCAAAACTAAGGGTATCAGCAACGCAAGTTGGTGACAAAAAGCGACAGTATTGAGGTGGGATGGAAATTGCGGATTGGAATGGGAGTTGAAGGGTGGTAGGAGGAGGGGGTCCACCGCAAAAAGGACCTACGCAGAGGTGGGCTGGTTAGTTGGTGCAGTTAGACTGGTTACATGGGAAGAAAATAAAAGGAGGGGACAATTTCAACACTAAAACGCGACTTGACGCGGTTTGAAAATGGCACGCGTTAATTGATTCGAGGCGGCCCCCTTTCCCGTGTGGCTGGTGTCCAGAAGTAGAACTCCTTTTCTTGTCACCTAGCGGGACTCAACACTGACTTAAGTGGTCGGTGTAAGTACCTAGGTACCTGCGGAAATGTCGCTTCATGCTTTACTGCAATATCGTCTGATTGGACGTATCAATGCAGGCACATGGGATGATACCGGTAGGTTAGGTACCTACCTAGGTACCTAGAAGGGCACTTCAGAAACCAATACTCCCCAAGACACATTGCCTGATTCTTGTTTTCGTTTCCCTTGGACTCCTTGCGACTTGAGCCCGCGGAGCCTGACTCCTACGGCTGATTTGAGCCGTCCTAAGCATCGGAGGCTGGGGATTGATTGCTATTACCGAGTGCCCTTATTGCTCATGCGCGCTCATGCCTCACTTTGACGATGTAGTCGTCGCCGAGAGGAAATAAAAAGGCTAAGACTCGGTACATGACATCGCCCATATTAAGTGACGCTGGTTGTCCTGCCAACTTCGTGGTGCCACTCATCGTCACAGCCTTCTCCGCCTCTGCCCATAGAAGGACTGGCATGGCACGAACCATGTAAGACAGATATATTTGCTCCTACATCTTGCAGCTAGTTAGCCACGGCAAAGTTACCTACTGCAGTTACGTCCTCGTCCTGGCACGTGCTTTGCGTCTTTCATCTCATGACGTTTCCTTATCCACCCTTTGGCGCCAACCATACGCTGCTCAAGATGGTCCCCAAGTCCCTTGATGCCATAGAATTTGCCAGTGTCAATCATTCAGCTCTTCTTCGCCGTACGAAGTATGATTTTGTGCGGAATAAAGACACCATCAAGTAAGTGACTTCTTGTGCAATTATGCAAAGAATCGGTTTTTTCCAAGTAGTCGCCGCAGACGGAAGCATCTAAGAAGTGCTCGACAAGGCGTGAGACTGCTGATGATTGGCGTCTGACGTTTCATACATCATTCCAAATAGATTATAGCTCTCCGTCTCACCTCGAAGATATCTACTCTGTGAATGCACGGGAAGCAGTGCATGAATGAATTGACCTCGGACAACACTAACTTCAGGCGGTTCATCCAACCTTGTCTCGAAGGCAAACCCCCTGCACGTCATGTTAGGTCCCTTAGCAGCACCTATCTCATCCAATCAGTGCCCCAAACAGCGCTCTACAGACCAATGTAGCACCATTGGCCACGCTACCCGCTCTAGCTTGGGAATCAATACCCAGCGAAGTGCAGCTGACAACAACTTTACTTTGACTTCACGCCTACGGAACTAACCATATCTCATCGCGACAACTACAGTACCGCTGTCACAACCACAACATCAACAAATACGAGACCGACGACTTCCGCCTTGCTCCGGCTTGCACCTCTGTTTCCCATGATTAATGGTGTGTCGACAACGGGGCGCAGTTGATTCCACCTTACCCCGTCACTGTCTTTACAATCACATCTATCCTAGCTGCAGGCGCAAACGAAGGAGCACATCATGTCCGTCGGTGCTGCGGCCAGTCGTCATGCCGCTGACGAAGAGGCTCGTGCTGAGGTTGATGTGCTCAACTCGCGGCTCGAGAAGACCTCCCAATTGACCAAGAAGATCCAAGCATGCATGGGAAGGCT